TCCTTTTTCCTTTTGTCCTTTCTTAGGTGGCTGCGTTTTGTTGGCATCGGCTTGTCCTTCTCTTGTGGTGGTTTGGGGTCGTCATCTTGCCACATACTGTCACCTCGTATCGTGCGGCACTGGCGGATCCACTTCAGCTTGCTTTCGGTATTGCTGTAACTTCTGCGCCGTTTAGCGAGCTGTCTCGTGAATTGTTTCACCTTCGGCCTGCTCATGGGCCACCTGAGCCGTCCTGGTCCTTGGATTGGGTGCTCTCTTTTCTCTCTTCTCCTCAGTTTGTTGTGTCCCCTTCGGTTCAGGATTGTTTCTCTCAGGCTCTTTTCCTGTTGGCATTGGCCTCTGGGAGTTGGTTTGGGGTGCTTCATGCTTTCCTCCAGCACAGGGGTTTCTGCTCTTTTGGTCGTAGCGGTGGTTTTGTTCGTCTGCAGCGGTCTCTTTATTTTATGGCAATGAATGAGACTGCTGTATTCTGGAGGGGTCCTTGGGTTGTTGATGCTTCATTGGTTGAGCAGGGGTGCATCATGTTTTTTGTCCAGTTACGGCCCTTTACCGTTATTTGCGCGCAATGGCTTCTGTATCCGGGGACGCGCGTTGGGTTAATCCAGTTTCCCTTCTTCCCTGTTTGCGCGTGCGGGTCTCCCAGGTTGTCCGCAGGGTTATTAAGGTTAGCCAGCCTGCGGTCTATTCCCATGCCAATGACATTCATAAGTTCGCTGCTCTTGCTGCTGTCTTTAGTGACATGACCTGGGCTGACATTCGGGCATGGGTATTTTGGCAATCGAACAGGGTCTGCTGTTACCTCGTGAATGTTCCTGGGCCTGGTCGGGCCTGTGTCGTTTTGGGTCGGCGGTTGCAGCCAGTTACCTCGACTTAGAGTTGAGGAGTGAGTGATGACCACCTCCCGGGTATGTCCCTATACTTTTCTTTTGTGGGTAGTTAGCTCCAGGGAGCCGAAGGGGCTCCCCCAGGAAACCAGCATTGAATGTAATAAAACGCCATTTTCTGGGTGAGAAGTGGAGGCTCCCCGGCATCTCTCTCTCTCCTCCCAGTCGGCGTTTTCTGTGGGGAGCCCCTATGACTTCCTGGAGCTTATCGGTCTAATGTATGTTATATTAGACGAGTACAATAGCTAAGACGTTCAGACCTACCAGGGACCAGTACCAGAACCTGGCCAAGTCGTCCAGCTTGCGGTCTATCCTTGCGCCCGTGCTGTTCGGACGTTTGCAGCTTTTGCTGCTGTGTTGGTGACGTCTAGAGCTCATTTCGGGCGCAGGGATTTGAGGGTCACCCAGGTTCTTGGCCGCCCATTCTATATGCGCGTCTGCTCCTGTGCGTTCTTGTTGTCTTGGGTCGCAGGTTGCAACCTGTTGTCTCGGCTTCGCGTTGCGGAGTTTGTGGCGGCCGCCTCCCGGGTTAGCCCTTTCTTTTCCTTCTCTTTGGGTATGAAGCTCCACGGAGCTGTAGGGGCTTCCCACAGAAAACCAGCGTTGAATGTAATGAAACGCCATTTTCTGGGTGAGCCCCGGAGGCTCCCTGGCAACCCTCCCTCCCACCGGTCGGCGTTTTTTTCGCATTGGTTGAAGCTTAGCTTCCGAACTGAAGCTTGGCAGCCGGCGCGGTAGGTCCGGGGCTCCCCCCTCCCCCTCTCTGGGCGGGGAGGGCGGCGTGGCAGTGAAGTGTGATGTTTGCTTGTTTCCATGGGATTGTAGGGAGTTTCTACCTCTCTGTTCGGTTTTTTGTTTTAGTTTTTTACCATGTGGGGTTTGTTTTGTTATGCCTACCTTTCTGGGTGCCTAACCCCGGTCGATGGCAGATAAGGAAAACCCCAACCACAAGGGGGTTTTCCAGGGCCATTGCTCCTTGAAATCTCTCTGAAGGGGCCAGGCTTTGGCGCTGGTCCCTGGCAGGTCTGAACTCCTTAGCTAAAGTCCCGATCTAATATAACGTACATTAGCCCGATAAGCTCCAGGGAGCCTCCGGGGCTCACCCAGAAAATGGCGTTTCATTACATTCAACGCTGTTTTTTTTTTTTTTTTTTTTAATTGTGCTGCTACGAAGCCAGCCTGATTTCTGTGAGACGGACTGCCAAACTCTAGTGTATTCACGAGACTGACAATTGTGAATATCAGCCATTCAGACCTTCTGCAAGCTGTGTGTATGAGTCGTTTGGTATGAGTGTGAGGCCAGGATTATATAAGTACTAAACTCTATTTTATTGTTTTATTGACAATCTGCACATCAATCCCTTTGATCAGCCAGAATTACTCACCTTGCTGCACACCTGCAACAGGTGTAGGGTGTGTTTACACACACCCAACTGTAAACAAGTGATTATCTGTTCGGCATTATGATTGTTCCACCTGTTTGAGTGAATGTGTATCTTACACACATGACACATTTACAGTGGTACCTCGGTTTAAGAGTTTAATCCGTTCCTGGAGACAGCTCGTATTCCTAAAATTCGTATTCCGAAGCTAATTTCCCCATAAGAAATAATGGGAAATGAATTAATCCGTTCCTGACTACCCCAAAAACCCCACTTCAAACTAAATTTTATACCTAATTCATCTAAATAAACCTACAAAACTATGTTCAAGTTATTACTTGCCTTGCTGTTGGCGTATGGAAGATGGTGAGAAGGAGGGAGGAGAAGAGGTGTTACTGTTTGGAAGGGGAGTCCCCTTCCATTATAACATCAGGCAGTGAGGTCTTCACTGGTGTGCACACTCTGGCAGGTTTTGCCTGCATACCACTAAGACTTGCTTGTCTTACTAACAATCTGTCTAAAGACACTTGTTTTTCCCTACATTTTAACACTTGTCTGTAGTAAGACATCACATTGTCATTTCAAAGGTCAATGCAACGGCCTGCTACAGCTTAATCTGGGCGAGTTTTTTCAACAAAACTTTGCAATTCTTCCCATACTTCACACATTTTCTTAACACTTTAGCGTTATCACGGCACTCAAGAGCATTGTCACTTTTTGTGTTGAGGTCGCACAGCAGACTCGCTCACGAGTCATGAGAAAAAATATTTCTATTACATAACTCTATTTGTTATGAGTTAATTACATAACTATTTGTTATGAGATCAACTTTGGGATAGTTAGAAAATGTCCGCCATGAAATTTCCGTTTTCTCTAATAGCCACATAGCCTAGTTGGGAGAATGGCGTAGCATTGCACCATCGAAGTAAGACTATTGTATTGTTGACACAACAAGTGTAATCGACGTAGTTTTTTATTTGGTGCCGGTCTAACGCATCCTTGTGTGACATTTTATACTAATGTTCTTATAGAACATTCTATTGCGAACACACTGGTACAAAAATGAAATACGTAAATCAAAAATTTATGTCAGGACAATGAAAAGAGTATACACTTTTCAGTGTTGCCACTCGATCGCCTGAAACGCAGCACTATTTTCTTAGGTTAAACCTTACCATCGGCTTTCTTGGGACCCATGGCGAGATATATAATAACTTTTATGGTCAAATGACCAAAAATCCAACAAAACACTGAAAATTCGGGTGACGAATTTACGTGGGATAGTCACTGGGTGCGAGGCACTGGTAAACTGAGGGGTGAGAGGCGACGATCGTCGTACCACCACACGCTAGGTCGGCCTGTACGCGTATCAACAAACTCGCCTTCCAAGGTAACCCTCGCCTTCCGAGACAAATTTTCCGAGGAAATCCTGCTCGTATTCCGAAAAACTCATATACAGGACACTCGTATTCCGAGGTACCACTGTAGTTGTTTGTATGTGTATGTTTTATTGATTGTCAGAGTGACAGGTCATTTATGTGTTGATTCTGCATGCCATTATATTAATTGCCCAAGTATCTAGTCTGGCACTGCTGTTTCCCTTGTGACTGGCAGTGTCAGGAAAGGCATGTTAATGATTGGTTGTCTAAAAGAGTGTTAAGGCAGAATTCTCTCTGAGTGAACCATGTGATCGGTCAGTGGAGGCATCCCAGTGTCTATCTGATATGATATTAGCTTTGACGACACCAATTTAGAGTAATGTAAATGCCCTGCACATAAGTTTTGCCAATAAACATTGTTAAGTTTTACCATTGTGTTTGTGTAAAGACTTCTTTAAATAATGCCACCCACTTAGCTGCCTTCAGCAGTATACTCACACTATAGTTTCAACACCCTGAAACCCTTTAGTCATAACACCATAAATGATTTGTTCATCTAGTCATAAATTACAAATTTTAATGAGGACCCATTATGAAAAGTACTCATTTAGAGTACTCTTCTTGCATTGAAGTAGAACCAATATGAATTGGGACCCGATGAAGCCTGTTGATAAGGAATGCCTCACAGAGGAATCTTAATCTCCCAAGTGCATCCTGGACCTGTACATTTGCGCTTGTAGTTACTAGACTCTGACTAGTGTTTAGCAAACCTGTTAGCCATTGCAGAGTGGTGATGTTGCATGCAAATGCAGTCAGGGAAAAGCAAAATTCCACAGACACCCTTATCTTCATCTGTGAGGGGGGGAAAGGCAGGATTCTGATACCTGCTCGTATTATGCCATGAGAAAGCCTGAGGTGCCTGGTGAGATTGTATTAGCCCTCAAGTACCAGTGCATAACCTCTGGGATGCCACTAAGGAAGCTGCCCAAGAAAGTATAATTTATACACTCACTAATCATAATATTTCACTTCATTTCTTCATGAGTATAGCAGCATTTTGTAAAATATTTTAAAAGTGCCATGAAGCAAGATTATATTTGAAAAAGTGTCTGAAGTACACAAAAACCCTGAGCTAACTTGTGGGTTATAAACCCAGTGTTTACATTTAGTGAAAATTTTGTAGTAATTAACTATTCTGTGCATAGTGAATTTCATTAACATTAAAGTCATAGATTGCCAGAACCAACTTCAGAGTACCTGTATTTGCTTCTTCTTTATATAATTTGTATGTCATATCTTACTAATAATACTTTATTTAAAAACACCTCAGTAATGTTTAACATTATTTCTTTCAGCAGAACAATTAGAATTAGAATCTACAAATAAACCCTCAAAGAAGAAATCATTTTTGAGACGTTACCACAAGACTGCACCATTAATGCTAAATGGATCTGCTAGTGGAGCCAGTGACCAAGAAGTTAATCATAATTCAAGAGTTCCTCCGCCACTAGCATGACATGGCTTGTAAACACTACTTTGTGTAAAGGTCAGCAAACTTCATAGAGTTCTAATGTCCTCTATGGTAATAGGAGACAAGGCATCTTCTAATGGTTGATGAGGTAGTAAACATTAATTTTGGATGACATTGTAAGGTCTTCAAATCAGTGTTATATCTGTTACATGTCGTGCTGTATAACCCATCCTCCTGTTTAGATAGTACAGTACCTATTGTGACAATTGTCAATAGTCATAATTTGTACATTCTAAGCCTTTAGATAGTACTATACTGACTAATAAGGAATTCTTTTAAAATAAATTAAGCTAAAACACAAACTTAAATATTCCTAGGCCTAGTATAGCACACATATGTATTATATTAGGCTTCAGATATCGTCTATTGGGCGTAGGGAGGTTAGGATAGGATAGTTTAGTTTGTCAAAGCAACACAAGTAGAAAATAGTTTTCCGGTTTGTCCAACTCAATGGTTCAGATTTCTATGTTCTAATTTCATTGTACGTCGGTATATATACTATGGTCCTCATCGTTACTATAAGTACTACCAAAACAGGAGGATGCGTTGTGCTCTTAAGTAAGTGTAATTAATGAGGTAGATTTAATTTAATTTATTTTATTCTATTTTATTTATATATTATTTAATTTTTACAATGTAAATATACAGTAATTCAAGAAGATTACAATTTTGCTTGGAATGCAAACTTAAGGAATTATTTTAAAGTAACTAGGATTATAAGTAAATTCTATAAGTTAAAGGTACAAAGAGCTTCTGAAAAGTGACTTAAATTGATAGATTAACCCCCTCCAGGTAACCCCCTCAACTCATCAACAATCAAAAATTTGTTGATTGTAAATACTGTATATAATTTCATGTCTGTTGTCAGGTTGGACTGCGAAAATATAAAACCTGGAAATTAATTACAGGTAAATTACAAGGAGAGTCTACCTCATTTACCGAGGAGTAAATCATTATGTTAATATTTATATCTGGTGAGTTGAATCTTTGAAAAGCAGCTAATATATGGTGTTAACACTATCGCTCGCTTTGGACACCGATCACGTCCATTTTTTTTCTCTTGAGTCCTAGCCGTGGACAGGACTTGCGTCCACTACAAAAATATTTGTATAAAATTCATTTTTTATCCGATCGACCTCGGGATAGTTTCAAAATAAGCGCCTGTAAAATGTGCACAATTTGATACCAAAATGAAAGATGTGACACGAAACTTGATGTCAGAACACTTGAAAGATTATAAATACATTTTTGGGTCTAAATTTTAAATTTTAAAATATTTGTTAAAATTCTATTTATTGTGCTATTATTATGGGACTAGTTTTAACACTTTCGCCCGGGCATGATGCAGCATTGCGTCATCCACTTTAAATAATAGCCAAAAATCAGGTTTTTATCCGATTTTTTGGGGACTGGTTTTAAAATGCGCACCGATGTCTTCCCATTTTCTTTGTTGAGCCTCGTGGCCCTCAGGTGGCTTGGCACACGCCGTGGGCCCATTGTTTTTGCTCCACTGTTATGACCAATGTCGCCTCCCCTCGCATCTCAAACGTGTGAACATTTCGGCTATTTTCCGTGGCTGTATTTCTTACTGCGGCTTTAGAAACTATCTACGCTTACTCCACGATGGATAGTGATCATGAACAAGGCCCTTCCAGGAAGAAAATTGCGAAAGAAAGGCTTGAAAAGGGCGGGAATTGGGAGTGTAGCTGGAAGGCGTCTGAGCGCTCACTCGCGGCTAACGCGTGGCACGTCTTCAACTCGTCGGCGGTTTGAGCGTGATCAGGTTTTTTATTTTATATGCTAATGTTCCTCTAGAGAATTCTATTGCGAACCCATTGAGACCAAAATGAAAGACCTAGGACAAAAATTGAGGTGACCAGAGTGAAAATAGTGAAAACATTTTATCGCGTTTGCGCGCTCCTGGGTAACTCGTTCGCACTTTGTTTGGTGCAGGTAATTAGCTGAGCTTTTGGAGTTTATATGCATTTAGTGCTGTAGAGAATTCTATTGCGAACACAATGATACCAAATTTAATCTCGTAGGACGAGAATTAAGGTGACAAAGTTGAAGAGAGTACTGTATACACTTTTCAGAATTTACGCGCGCTCCTGTGACACCCTGGGTCCCATATCGCACAGTTGAGGGGTGGCGCGTGGGGTACGCCAAAGTGTTAAAATGCGCGCCTTTATATTGCGAACAATTTGATACCAAAACGAGCGATGTAACATGAAAATTGATGTCAGAACACTGGAAAGATATAAAAAATTTTGATAATGAGCGTCCAAAATTAAAATATTTGTTAAAATTCCAGTTATTGCTCTATTATTATGAGACTAGTTTTAAAATGTGCGCCTTTATTTTGCGAACAATTTGATACCAAAATGAGCGATGTAACATGAAAATTGATGTTATCAAACTGAACGAGTATACACATTAGGTTGGGGTGTGCAAATTGGTGCTCGTTCACGGGTAACTTTAGGCTTTGCTGCGGGGAGTCTCACCAAAGTCTTAGGTGCGCACGTGGCGCTGGCGATAGTGTTAACAATGCCTGTCAAATTATTGAACAAAATTTTCATGTTTTGTGGCCAGCTCATTTATTGTCAATATACTTACAGTTCATCGCTCTCCATATGATCAGTACCACATAATAACACTACACACAGAAGTCACACTAACGTGATGCATCAAATGAACAAATCCACAAGGGCCGTGAAGAGGATTCGAACCTGCGTCCGGAAGCATCCCAGACACTCCCTTAATCGACTGAGCTACGACAGAGTAAAAGAGTTGAAACCGAAGTTCTACTGAACTTACAATTGGCTGCTGGATCCAGTAAGTTCAGTAGAACTTGCTATGTTTTTCACCTCTTGTCTTGCATGTCGACAGGCCATCCTTGCTCTGTTTGGCTTCAGCTTGGGCCCTGGCTCTGCAATCTTCTGCGCTGTTCTGTCCTCTGTTGTTCCCGGAGGACTGTGTTGCATAGTTTTTGTCACTGGCTTCGACCTGTTGCCGTCCCATTTTGGACTTGTTAGTGCTCTGCGGGTGGTTGTTCCAGGACCTCTCGGTTAGGTCGGGCTAGGGCCTCATTTGGTCAGGGTAAGCCTATGGTGCCAGTTTCAGCATCGGTGTGTTCTCTGGGACCTTCATCGTCTGGTCTGTGTTCGCTCTGTACGGTGGTTGGCTTCTTGGGGTTCACATTGGCCTTTCGTGGATCACCCCATTGACGGGGTGATGGGGGGAAGGCTGGCTTTCTTTGCCGATGCTTGGTCCTGCAATTCATGGGTTTTTGGGTCATGTCTTCTTGTCTTTGATGGCGTTGTGCTGCCCTTTTTCCAGTCTGGAAGTTGGGTTTAGAATGGCTTCGCTTAGGTGTGGTCAAAATGACCTTGTCTCTCAAGTGGGTTTCCTGCTTCTTTCTAGTTCTGAAATGGGACTGTGCGGATCTCCGGTACATTCTGGACTTATCTCATCTGAACTGGTTGATTCCTTGCCCCTCCTTTTGGATGACCACGTTGTTCCCAGGTCCGGCTTCTGCTTGACCCAGGCGCTTGGATGATTTCCATGGATCTCAAGGATGCTTATTGGCATGTCCCTATTCATCTGGGGTTCGTGGATTGGTTGGGTTTTGTAGTGGGGTGACAAGCTTACCGCTTATGTTGTCTTCCCTTTGGTTTGAATCTTGCACAATGTGTTTTCATGTGCTTAACCAGGGTCGTGGTGACCCATCTGCTTCTGCTAGGTCTTCGGGTTCTGACCTACTTTGACGATTGGTTGGAGTGGACTCCCAGCCAGTCTGCGTTTCTGCTAGTCAGGGGTCTGGTTCTTTCCAAGCTTGCTTGGTTCGGGTTCCTGGTGAATCCCAGGAAGTCCCAGTTGGTTCCTTCCCAGGTTCGGACTTGGCTGGGCCTAGTGTGGGATTCTCGGACTGTGTTTGTTTCTCTCCCTCCTGCGGCTTTGCTTCGGTTGCAGTCCCGCCTTCAGCTGTTTTTGAGGGGGATCCAGGTCACTTGACAGTTGCTCTAGCAGCTGTGTGGGAACCTAAACTTTGCTCTGCTGGCTTATCCGTTGGGCAGGGTGTGACTTCGGAGGCTGGTATCTTCAGAGCAGCCACTTTTGCCGCTCTCGCGATCGCTGGATTTGATCCCTGGTGTCCTTGCTGCATCTACGGCTTCCTTTTAGGGTTTTTAGAATTCATTGCCATGGCGCATTCCTCTTCCGTTGCTCAATGTGTTCACAGACACCTCGTCCCTTGGTTGGGGCTTTGTGACCAGCGCTCACCAGGCCGGCCAGAAGCATTGGGCGCCGTCCTTCCTTCTAGCTCACAGCACGGTGTGGGAGTTTGGCTGTGTGGCAGGCGCTGCGGAGGATTCGGCTTCTGCAGAGCTCTGTGATCTGGCTCCATTTGGACTGTTTCCCTGTGGTTCATTGTCTCAACCGAGGTCTGTAATCTCTGATTTCAGACTGATCTCGGATTTCTGCGGTCGGTGGCTCTTTGGGGCTGATCGCTTCAAGTGGCTCTTCTGCTGAGTTCTCGGGGTTTACCTCTCCCCGCTGATCACATTCAGGGAGTGTCCAACATCCTGGCAGACAGCCTGCCATGCTTCATTCTTCTTTCCACAGAGTGGACGATGAATGCTGTCTTCTTCCTTTGGCTTGTTGGACATAGGGGCACCTGGAGGTAGATCTCTTTGCGTCGGCATGATCTCGCCATCTCCCACTGTAAACGGCATCATTCCATGACTGTGAGGCCCATGCGGTGGATGCTTTTTGGCTGGACTGGTTGCGGTGGGGATTCCCTGTACAGGGGTACCTCGGTTTAAGATAATTTCCCTATAAGAAATAATGGGAAATGAATTAATCCATTCCTGACTACCCAAAAACCTCACTTCAAACTAAATTTTATACCTAATTCATCTAAATCTACACTACAAAAGTATGTTCAAGTTATTACTTACCCTTGCTGATGACTGCTGTTGGCATATGGAAGATGGTGAGGAGGAGGGAGGAGGAGAGGTATTACTGTTTGGAAGGGGAGTCCCCTTCCATTATAACATCAGGCAGTGAGGACTTCATTGGTGTGCTCTCTCTGGCACGTTTTGCCTGCATACTACTAGGACCTGCCTGTGGCTCACTGCTTGCTTGTCTTACTAAGAATCTGTCTAAAGACACTTGTTTTTCCCTACATTTTAACACTTGTCTGTAGTAAGACATCACATTGTCATTTCAAAGGTCAATGCAATGGCCTGCTACAGCTTAATCTGGGTGAGTTTTTTCAACAAAACTTTGCACTTCTTCCCATACTTCACATATTTTCTTTATGAGGAAGGGACATCCTCTACTCACAACTATTGTCTTAGGTTGAAACTCACCACTGGCTTTCGTGGGACCCATTGCAAGATATTTAATAACAGCTTTTATGTTCAAATGGCCAAATATCCAACAAAACACTGTAAATCCTGGTGAAGAATTGAGGCGGGATAGTCAATGGGCGCGAGGCACTGGTAAACTGAGCGGCGATCACTGTGCCACCATGCGCTAGTCGGCCTGTATGCGTATCAACACCCTCATATCCTGAGGCAACCCTCGTATCCCGATACAACTTTTCCGAGCAAATCCTGCTCGTAACCCGAAAAACTCGTAACCAGGGGCGCTCGTAAGCTGAGGTACCACTGTATAAAATTTTTTAAATGTATAAACATTTAGGTATTTGATAAAGTATGTATAACCTGCTGGTGTGTAATTACTGTAATACATGGAAAGGTAATGTTGAAACCTGCAAATAGATCTCATTCTTTTGAGCATTATCAAAATGTTTGTACTTAACCAGTGGACAAATATAACACTCAAAATGGGTTTGTAGCCAGTTTCAGAATGCAAGTGTATTTTGCTACTATAAAAACATGAAACAAAAAACAAACAAAAAGAGTTAAACATTTTGTGCAGTTGCTTGATAGATATTTGGTGTCCTCTTTGCACAAAAGTACCAGTGTTTTTATAAATGACATGAAATAGTTGAGGGGGTTATTGAGGCCTACTGTGTAATATTATGTAAGATATGTGATGTGTAGAGATGTACCAATATGGGTGTCTCATGGGGATGTTATGATGGATAATGTAATTTATATGGTTATATTAATACCTTTATGAAGAGAATATCTCATAACTTTTTTGTACTAATAAACGAGCTTTTCCTCTCAAA